GTTGGTTATTCCAAAGTACTCGTTCATAGACAAACAATCAATCCATATCGAACTGAAGGTGGAACTGGTGGTAAAGCATATATAACCGTGATGCTTTGTGGTTCAGCAACCGGTTTTCTTTTGCCACCTTTTATCATCTATAAATCAAAACGATTATTTCAAGAATGGTGCACTGGAGGACCAACTGATGCAGGTTATAGCAATTCAGATAAGTAAGTTTATTTTGCGAAAGTTCTTTAAATTTGCTTTTGACAAATTTCATCCGAAATCCATGAAAATTGTCTAGAATATCTACCGATGGATTTTAACTACATGTTGTCCGTTAAATTCTTAGGAACGAATATCCATTTGACAATTTATAGTTTCTAGAATGCTAAGTATTTATCTTACCATCTTTTCAACAGAATCTCTCGCATCTTAGAGCATACATACTTTCATCATTCCTTTGCTGATGTAATAAGAATTTTCTGTTCTTTTAGTGGATGGATTGATCAGCAACTCTTCTATGAATGGTTTGACCAAGTTTTTCTAAAACATACCAAAGACTTACCACGTCCATTGGTTTTAATTGTCGATGGTCATGGAAGTCATTTTAAAGTTGAAACACTTAAGTTAGCTGTAGAAAACCAAGTGTAAGTCATTGGAGAAAGCGTTGATTTTGCCAGCATGGCATTTGCAATAAGTAGGCGTAAGAACTGTTTTCGGATATTTTTAGGATCATTCTATGTCTTCCAAGTAATGCCACTCACATCTTACAGCCGTTGGATCTTGTATTTTTCAATCCATTGAAAATTGAATGGAGAAAGTGAGTTTTTCGATAAACCAGTTCTCTATGTTATGTTCTCAAAAATTAATCTAATTTAATTTCGAAGTTGATTGAGAAGATTGTAAAAACTGACAGATCAGTTTCGAGCTGCGTTGAGCATTTCACATCAAATTCAATCAATATAGTTGAATATTCAAAAGGCTTCATGAAAATTTTCGCTCATTTCTATATTTGCATTCACTCAGACATTCATAAAACATCCGAAGTTCTCAAATACGTCGTCACATTATGAAAACCTGTCAAAGTCCCTTTTTCATCACTTAAATATATATTTTAGTCATTTCTAAAAAAATCTTTTCTAATTGATATTATCATTACTTTTAGAATATTGAAAGATGAATATAAACGAACACATGATAAAACTATCAACAAGGCTCGATTTCCAACACTGTTAAATCAGTTATGGCAAACTGATGCTATTAATCGGAAAACAAATCTTATTAAATCGTTTATGCGAGCTGGCGTATTTCCATTGAACAAACAAGCTATAGATGTGTCACGCATCTTGAAATCTAGTACGTCTAATACTACATCGTCTGCAACTACTGATTTGCATCAAAATGATATAACAAATACGACATTGCCATACAGCAGAACTCAACCAGTAGGATTATCTACATTATTAGTATCTGGTCATTCGAGTTCTACTCATTTTTATGCATCTTCATTTGCTACTTCTCAACGTGCAATCTTAACTCTTAACCAAGTGCTTGATGATACAACATTGAATAATAATGATTCTCGTGATAATAATGAAGATAATATGGTTCTTGACGAGGATATTGATGGTTTTCATGATAAAAATGACGATGATGATGATGATGATGACGATGATGATAATGACGACAACGATCATGATGATAGTGATGAAAGTTACACTCCTGAGTCATCATCAAAAGCACTTGGAAAACGAAAAAGATCACCATCAGAAACAATACGTATTGATACAAGTGATGATGGTAATTATTAACTAAAGTTTTTTGTCGATGGAACCAAATGGTTTTAGATGATACTCAAGTGAGCACATCATACAGAAAAACATCGAACTCCACCACAGCACAAACATCCAGCAAAAAATCCAAAGGAAACTCAAAAGAATCTTCATCGGAATCCATGGCAAAACGTAAACGAGTAGAATTCAAATTGATTGGATCCGATATTTCCGATGAAGAAGGTAAACTCCAGAAACTTTATGTTGTTACAATACATGTTACATTTTCATAATATCTTTTGATAGATATATTGCCTGAAAGATCACAAGATTCTCTAACGCCGATCAAAGATACACTTCAAACTTTATTCGGTTCATCTTCACAAGCACAAGAAACCGGTTCAACCAAACGTACAATGCTCAAACGACACAATGGAAAGATTATGACAGAAAATGATGTCATTGATCAACTTGAAGAACAACAACGAAAAAAAAAAGAAAAGAAACCACGTACTACCTATAGGAAGACTAATAGAAAATAATGCAATACTTGCAAAAAATGGTATGTTTGATTACACTATAGATACAATAAGAATGTCCTAGTATAACAGATAAAAAGCACTACACTAAGTTGTGTTATTGATCATTCATTAATTAAATTAGTAAATTTTGTTATTGTATTTAGATTTATGTTATGTATAATCTGCTATAATCATGATTTCTATTCAATCATCTAATACATTATTTAGCAAATCAATCTAACCAAGCAGTCATTCATATGTTTATGTTCTTTATATAGTACGATAAGTTCTTTTCTCAAATGACTTAGATTCATTTTGATTGGAAAATATGTCTTTAATTCTTTTAGATGTACAGCAACAATTTCAGGTGTTTATTCGTTTTTCTTATAAACGTTTGTCACTTATATTTTACTGTTTTTCGTTTAATTGAAAAACTTTTCCACATAATTTGCTAGTTATGTAGTACCCAGCGTCATTATGAGCTCACTTGCGCAATTTCCTAGGTTTTCTATTTTACGTATCTATACTATACAGAAATTTTATTTGTGTGATTATTTATTTCTTCTTTTTGTCTTTCTATATTATATTGCTCATCAGTAAAAGCAAACGTATTCCAATTGTACAATATCAATGAAACAGTTTGTCTTTCTCTTTCATATAAACATAAAAATAAAATAAATTTTTCGTTGAACAACACAGATCTCTATTCTTTTAAATATCGAAAGTATTTCTCTAATAATGGTCAACATTCATCTATGTAGATAGTTTTATAGTCCAAGAGTCTCTATGAACGATAAATTGAGATTTTTTCTTTTGATATTTCGTGTTTAGCTGTCATTCTTTCAACAAGTACAGAAAATGTACATGATAAAAAAATCATATTTTACATGATTTAGTGAATTAGATAAATTCTACATCCATGCTACATGATGATAGTTGATTTTATGTGCGAAGATAGGAAATAGTTAGCTGAACAATTCTTCTTAAGTTAATACTGGTCAATATTGCATGCTAAAGACGGTAGAAATTTTTTAAATTTCCGTT